ACTCCACATGTTGCACTGAAACTTATTCTAACTCTAATGTGACTACAATTAAACCAAACAGGTTTGTTCATTTTTTTAAATCACAATCATGCATCTACATTTCACAATTTTGCATGTTTTGTCTTAAACACTTGCACTTCTTTTGTGTGATAATTGTACTTAATCAACAGTCATTCATTTGAACAACCAATTACGCAAACACAAAATGACTCAATATATATCCTCATAAACCATTAACAATTAACCAAACTTATTGATTTTCAGATAAAATTACAACAATGCAATATATATCTTCATAAACCATTAACAATTAACCAAACTTCTTGATTTTCAGATAAAATTACAACAATGCAATATATATCTTCATAAACCATTAACCAAACTACATCTGAATCTACATCTAAAACCATTTGTATAAAGAAGGGATGAAAACGACTACCTTCATCAAACACCAAACCTTCACTGCACTCAACGTTGTTTAAAAATCTTCTAAAACCTTTCTCCAGGCTTCTAACAACTTGCTCCAGACTTCGATCGAGTTACATCCTCTGTTTATGTTCTGCAACTTACCTTTTTCCCGTTGGTATTCGTGGCCAGTTACCTTCTTGGTGGATATTAACCGTAAAGTTAGGGATTTCCAAAGTTAATCCCAATTTTGCTTTTGACGGCTTTGTTTTGGATTTCTAAAATTACCTTTGTGAGCTCTTTAAATGAGTAAACATTTCAAACGGTGGAATTTCTTTCATCCCCTGCGTCTCATTGCATAGTTTAAACGATGCAATCTATGCGTATTAGCTGTCCGTTTTAGCCAATCTAACGGATGATGTTAGTTTGTTGTTTGCACCAGAAGCTTGGTTTGTATGGGATCTTGCCCCTATATATATATATAAATCAAACAAAAGAAGATTCATAATTAAGTATGACAAGCTTCAGGACTTTGGAAGCTTTCCGTCCATTTTTGAGTTGTGTGGCAGTAGAAGCTAGGGCGGTGTTGCTCTTTATAGAAAGCTCGAGGCCATCCTTGCTTGCGGTGGGTTTAGATGGAGGCCGGAGTCGGTTTCACTTTACGGAACAAGATTGATTAGCTTTTCTTTTTATTAATAAAACTACGCCGTTTGGGATCGGCACATCATGCGCAAGGTGGGCCAATCCCACGGTATAATTTGCGCCCTAAATCGATCTTCCCCGCCACCTTCTCTCTCCCATCTCCAGTTCGGCACAGTTCACTTTCCCTAAACCCATATTCTCAACCGCCCTTCATTTTCATTACTCAAACATTAGTTTCGATTCCTCTAACCTCTTAACTTGGAAGACCTACTTGGTAGTTGAAGATAGTGAATTCCGGGACTTAATAGTTGAAGATAGTGAAGATTGAGTTGATTCTTCATCGGGTATCGATATTGAAGCTCACAAGCATGAGTACATGGAAGAAGCTTTGCTAGAGTTAAAATACGCTAAACACTAATACATAGTATAGATAGTAGTGTTACTTTTTTAGCTTTTTGATGGGTCTACTTTATATCTTGGTTGGTGTGCCACTCTCTTCTGTCTCAATAATGAGATATTACCCAAAATGGGACTAAAAAAGTTTGGAAATTCCAAAATAGGACTTCCATGTTTTTATTCCCAAAATAGGACTAATTACTGTCATGTTTTTGCAGTACCAGACTTCAAACATGGCAGTATTTTCCAAATTTGGCAATAATTAGTCCTAATTTGGGAATAAAAACATGACAGTCCTATTTTGGAATTTTCAAACTTTTTTAGTCCCATTTCGGGAACTTTCCCCTCAATAATAGGAGGACGGTTGGAGTACTTTATTGTAAAATCTACCTTCATTAGTAAGTGTATTAGTCAAAGTTATAGGGGGCATTTTTAAATAGGGCACAAGGGAGTATATTTTAGAGATTATATAAATAATGAGTAGGGATTTGGATTAGGGATTAATAATGTTATCTGCTTTTGAGTTTGGACCGTTTCCACAAATTCATTTATGATAGAAAATCAGGGTGCGATGATCATCACATGGGAGTAAATTTTTCATTGAGTGCTTTTAAACATGAATTTTGATTAAAATTTTATTTGAATAGATTTTTACTCCTACCCCATAAATAACTCCTTACTTTGATTTACACATATAATTAGAAAAGATAAAATTTTATTTCAAATTTATAATTATAGTCATATACTATGTCAATCAAGTAAAAATTAAGTAAGAAGTACGTACGTAGTATAACATTTGCTCAAAACGCTTTTTATGTAGATGATACTCCGTAAGTCTATTCAGGACATTTTTTTGACTGGCTTAGATAAATAACCAATAAAAGTTCAGAGTATGGGTCAACTGACAAAAAGAAAACTGATAACCGCCATCCCTCGAACCAGACTCGGAATTAATCGCCGTAGCAATATAATTCGCTGATCCACAACCAAGAAACAAAAAGCCTAACACAGTTACCAAATTCCTCTCATCTCCCATATCCAACATCAACGTCTTACAAATTGGAACAAAAACAAAGAAACACACGCCAAAGCAAAAGTAACAATTGTTGGAAAAGTAAACAAAACAAACTAAATAACACCCTTGCCGCCACCAGAGATCAACCCTTGGCGGTGGTTCTGGAGGGGGCCGTACCATCGGTACCACACCAATTGATTCTCCATTGACAATCAAAATCTGGAATACATGAAGCCCATTCATTCCTTCGCGTCCCCCTCTTATAGCAAGACCGCAGCTAATTGTTTTCTTCTCCGCTGCCCAGCCGTGTACAGCTTTCATCTGCCTTCCCGCTTCGCCGTGTAAAGTCCGTCAGCAAAATTGCCTCCCTGCGAAAACCCTCGCTCGACCCAAAAGACGAAGCGAAACAGTCAAGCCAAAGAATTGACCCGCCGCTGCAGTCTTCGAAGCCCTCCGAGAACACCAGCACCCACTGCCGATCCCGTTCCAACCTAAAGCAATGGCTGAAACGAAAACGGGACAACAAAAGCTACACTAGGCGGCGGCGATAAAGCCGAAACCTAGAGAGAAATCCGAACCCTCAAAGGCTCTTCACCTTTGGAATATGGAGTACTAACGGAGTGAATCAAAACATGAACCAGAAGCATTACAATCGCCGCTACAGGGGGATCCCAAACCAGTCGATCAAAGCAAAATAACAGTAAACTATCTCGGCCAATCGCCCAAAAAAGACTGACCGCAGTAGATTAACGCCGAGACTCCTCCTTAGTGCCTCTTCGTTCGGCAAACGCCGAGTACCTTCGCCGCCATGGACATCGGGAGGCTAGGGTTCGCTGTCAGCCTCTTTAATAACAAGCTTGGAATTTCGCGCCTTAAAAAAAGGTTTGGAATTTCGTTAAAGATAAGTTTATTCAGGACACTCAAAAAAGCAAATTGAGAAGTTATTTTGAAGACATAGGAAGTATAGTTTTAATTTTTATAAATTTTTCTGAAGTAAAATAGACTTAGGAAATAGTAGTCTTTGTTACATTTTATAGTCTTTGTTAAATTTTTAATGCATTTGTAAATAAATTATAATAAAAATAAAGGATATGAATATAGTAAAGCTCAATATAGTGTAGTACTATGGTCAAAATGGTACACGAAGTTGTATCGACGGGAGTAAGTAATACTTCTTCTTGCATTTGAAATTTTAAAATACATGAACTTGTATTTTTATAGTCAATAGAGTACATTTTCTCTCAAAGAACGTTAAAATAGCTGACCTGATCAAATTATCAGTTTGCAATATATCGTTGCAGTCCAAGTTGTCAAATAATTAATCTATAAACTCTAATTTTCACGAGTTCACTCGTTTCCACCTTCGATCTTCATTTTATATTTCTCACATTTGCTCTTCCTTCTCTCGCTCTTCATCTTGTATTTCTCTTGACTTCTCCCAAGGACGGAGCCAGGGCGCTGAATCAGGCTGGGGCAGTACAAAGAATATTTTTGGGAAAAAATTTCACAAATTTTTTACTTTAAAATTAAATCATTTTTTAAATTTGTGGTGGATCAGGGCCTAGGTTGCCCCCTCTAGCTCCGCCCGTGTTGCTCCCTATCTCTTTCGTCTTCTCTCCCTGCTATCCCATGCATCAGCTTCTTCTTTTATTTGCTATCGGTCCACTTATTATAACAAGAGAAGAAAAAAGTAAAATAGAGCAAAAAAAAGAAGCCAACATGATAGTATGGAGAGTAGACGAGAGAAATATAAGTTGTAGAGCGGAGAGAAGGGAGAACAAACGAGAAAAATATAAGATGAAGAGCAAAGGTGAAAACGACTGGAGTGGAAGAAATTAGTATTTATAGATTAATTATTTGATGACTTGAAGTGCAATTGTATAATACAAGCAGATAGTTTGGTCAAGTCAGTTATTTTAACGTCCTGATAGAGCGAATGTATTTGATTGACTATAAAAATACAAGTTTATGTATTTTAAAATTTCAAATGCAAGATGAAATACTACTTACTCCAGTCAATACAATTTCATGTACCATTTTGACCATTTTCTCCTTTCTGGGGTTACTTTATTTTCCCACTTTCTTTTTTGGGGACGCATCAAATTAATTGACTTATTCCTCATTTTGGAAAAAACTCTTTCAAAAAACATCTACAATATCGTTATTGTCCAAAAAAATATCTCATTTTTAAAAAAGTCTACAAATAATTATTTAAACTGCATATAAAAGCAAATGAGAGACATACAAAATGATATGGAAATACTCCCTCCGTCCCATAAAATAGTTCCCGCATTGACTTGGATCGGTGTTTAAGAACGTGAGAATAAAGTTGAAAAGTATGATTGTGGTTATGTAAGAAAAATGTATATGATTGTGAGTCACACAAAATTTTCTAAAAGGAGAAATGAAAATTATTTCTTGGGACAACTCAAAAAAAATCGGGAACTATTTTACGGGACGGAGGGATAGTATATTTGTGAAAGTTTAGGCGTTCTTTCCTCAACCAAAGTACCAAACCCATCCAAATCCTTCGGACCCTTTATGGTAAATTCACCCAATATTAGCTTGGAAACAAATCGGCTCAACTTTCCAATTCACATTGTAGAAAATTCACTTCCCCTCCGTCATTGCCGTGTTTGACGTCAAGTCATACACTCTATACATACAATTCCTGTGTACGTATAGAGGACGGGGATGGTTTCTATGGCGTTTATATAAACGACGAGGTACCTCTCTCTCTCAATATACTCTCATATGCGTATTGTATGGCTTACCTGCTTCTCGTTTGGCCTTCATTTTCCGGCGACAGTTTGATCGACAGAGGAGTGACGTTTGTATGATCAGAGCACCGGCAGCAGTCAAAGTCGGCAGAGCTTCGGCGATTATTGATCGACGGGGAAGAGATTATGAGAGGCGCGGGCCGTGCGGCGAATGAGGATGTGATGAGAAGCGCGAACCACGCACACCACGCACTCGAGACTATCACCGCTGCTGCAACTGCGATCGCTTCGGCCGAGAATCGTGCGTCGCAAGCTTCGGTTCAGGTGATTTTCACGTCCAGCCGAGCCTTTTTGTTTTAACTTTCCCGGTATCACTCTCGTTTGTTCCGCTGGATAAGCCTCTGGAAATAGATTAAATTTGAGCGTGTTTCAAATCCAGTTTTTTATCTCTCTCAATATTTTTGGGTTTCTTAAATTAAATCTCCTGAAATGATATGTACTTCCTCCGTTTCGTATTTTGCTGCAGAAAACTGTTTAGGAACAATTAATCCAATTCTTCTCTAATACTACCTCCGTCCCCTTCCCCTAAGTTTCGGACAAAGGGATGTGTATTTGGTATTGAATTGATAAAGTGTGAATAAAGTAAAAATGAATTCTAACCACTTAAATGGGACAGACGAAAAAGGTAAAACGGGACAAAGTTAGAGGGACGAAGGGAGTAATATTTAATTAGTGTTAAAAATTTGAACTTATATATTGAAAGAAAGTATCCTGAAAGCACATAAACTGGATTCGAATATTACTACGTATAAACTATCAAAATCAGGGAACAAAAATGAATTGCCCTGTCCTGAAGGCAGGCAGTATTGTTGCAGTGGTTTTGACAAAAAAACTTTAATCTTGAAATGTTGCTTACTTGTGGCTTATCTTTTGAGTTTAACTGCTGAACGGGAAGAGTTAGACAGTTCAATCATTTGTCTAGTTTTTTAAAAAGTGGTAAAAGTTTTTTTATTTATCATAGAGATAGATATTTAAATTGTTTTGGGTGATGAATTTATATATTTGATGCCTAAAGTTTGAAACCGTTTTTCTAGAACCACTGATAAATTCTTGAGATAGTAGCTCAATTGCTTGTGGAAAATAGACTCAGTCCATGTGGGTGTTTGTGTATTCTTGATCTTGGGAGTATGATTTATTTTAGTGATTATAGAGAAACTAGTACTAGTAATAATAAATGTTAGTAGTGTTGGAAAATAAAAATGACACTAAAAAGTAAAATGAAATGTTGGTGGTGAAGTAATTTTACAGAAGAAACTGAATTACAGTTGTGAGCAATAAGCATCCTTCCCCACCGTTTTGTTTGGAAGTGCTAAAGTTAAGCAATAGTACCAACTAGAAATAGCACTCTTTTTAGCCTTTTCAAAGCAATAATGCGCAAAGTGCTTTTCATAAGAGATGAAAAACTTTCTATCTGAAACTTGATATTTGTCTTAACCTTGCTAGTAAATTGTTGCAGGTGATTGGCCATTCCTATATTCGTATTAGAGGACGATGATAGAATTAGGGCATTGGAAAACATAAAGAATACTCCGTATAAAATTGACAAGTATTCCAAAATCCAAATCTGAATTTCCTTATCATTTTTATTTTCTGAGGAATCAGAAGTTTTATTCTTTGTATTCTGCATCCTGCATTGTGCTGGAATTTTGATATAGATTTGCCTTGCCCTTGCAACTTGAGAACTGAAAATTAAGAATGCTTTTCCAAAGTTGGGATTGCCTCCATTACCGTCCTATTCCATTCCCTCAGTTGCTATAGTTTTGAGAGATATACATGAAATGTTGAGGCTGTGTGCCCCACTGTTTCATTTATTTCACTTGAAAGTATGGCATTAGAAGGAAATGTACTGGAAATGAAATTAGGAGGGCTCACTTCCTTTTTCCGGGTGCCAACATATGTATTGCATCACGGAAATGATGATGACCCAAGAGCTTACAGGAACACACCCTCTTTTTACTCATCTCATTCTGTGGTGTTTGTTTAGGTTGCTCTGGTCATTGTCAGTACACCATGTGTCTAAGTACTTGCATAGTTATGTTTAGAAATCATATGAATGCATTCTTCCTTACACACATTGAACACTCTACTCTTGTCATGAGCTTATGAGGGAGTTGTTTTCTTTTTAGAAAGTATGAACGTTCTCGTCTTATTTGGAGTAATAGGTGAAAGTATCCCAACACAAGAACAATATCAACTGTTTGTCTATCTGTAAAGGAGTTGATAGCTTGGTAAAGTTTGGCAACAAAAGAACATTGTTTTTGCTCTTATGGATCTCTGTGTATTCTGGAGTCTTCGTATTTCCGTAATTATTTTTCACCTTTTGACTCTCTGAAGTTGAATGATGATAATGTAATTGTTAGGAGCTGTTTAATTCTTTATAACTGGAAACAGAGTGCCACACTAGTATTAGTTTTCGGAACTTCTTTAGTCTCTTACTAAGAGAAAATGTCAAAACCCCAAGCACCTAATATGGTGGAGCTAGAGATGTAGTATTAGATGTAGTAAAGATGATAGGCTTCAAAAGATGTATTAAGCCTCATGTTTCTGACATAATTTTTATAGATGATAAATATTTGGGATATGATAAGGCCAACTCTGTTTATGGTTGTGGTTCTGAGTTTAATAACCTCACTCTCATTTAATCTATACATACCATTGATGATGGAATAGAGAAGAATGATCCAATGTAAAGATGTATGGCTGAGAAAAATCACATTGAAGCCTTTTACTTATATACTTATAAATGACATAGTAAAAGTTTCATTGCTCTTAATAGCTGTCTGCTAATCCATCTGATCTTATGGTTGTGCAGAAGAGACGATGGAGATGCTGTTTTAGCATATATTGGTGTTTTGGAATGAAAAAACAGAACAAAAGAATTGGACATGCAGTCTTTGATCCTGAAACAAGAAGAGTACCTGGAGAAGGTGGTCTGCCTCAACCTGATAACCCAACTCAAACTACAACCACTTTCTCACTCCCTTTTGTTGCACCCCCGTCATCTCCTGTATCTTTCCTCCAATCAGAGCCTCCTTCTGCTACCCAATCACCTGGTGGCATGATATCATTTTCATCCATGTCTGCAAACATGCTGTTGTACTCCCCCGGTGGACCTGCTTCGATATTCTCAATGGGGCCATATGCTCATGAACCCCAGCTAGTTTCCCCTCCGGTTTTCTCAACCTTCACCACAGAACCTTCCACGGCTCCCTTCACTCCTCCTCCTGAGTTGGTCCACTTGACAACCACTCCATCTTCACCTGAGGTTCCTTTTGCTAAGCTTCTTGACCCGAACTTCCAAAACGGTAATATGTTTCCACTTACACCATGTGAATTTCATTCATATCAATTACAACCGGGAAGCCCAATCAGCCGTTTGCTTTCTCCTGCCTCGGCAATTTCTGGCTCAGGGACCTCATCCCCTTTCCCTGACCGTGAGTTGTTCTATCCGTTGGGACCCACATCTCATGACGTCACTCCTCTTCGGAGCTCATATAATAACAGTAGGAGGAATGGGCAGGTGGCTTTAAATCACAGAGTTTCATTTGAGGCGAGCACTGAAGATTCTTTGAGGTGCATGGAGAAAATGTCAAGAATGTTGTCCGAGGCTGGATTATTAGTCTCTACTGAGAATGGACAGGAAAAGGAATCCAACACTACACTTACAGTCAAATCTCCAGGGGAAGAAGTGGAAAGAGGTTCTGGAGATGGGAATGATGAAAAGCGGGACGAGATGAACCCGTCTGCGACTCTAGAGGAATTTAACTTTGATAACGTGAATGAAGAAACAGTAGCAGAAACGGTTAGTGTTGTTGGGTGGGAGAACGAGAAGGGGATGGGGGAGGGTGGGGTTGGACCTTGCCCCCAGAACTGGTCTTTCTTTCCAATGATGATGCAGCACTACAGCAGCCAGGGTAAAAGTTGACTTGGATAGGGAACCAGGAAAGTAAGCACAGGGTAGCATTTTGAATGAAGGGGGATGTTTTTGAAGCACTTCCTGACAATGTATATATATTAGAAGAAGGGATAAGTTGGGAATCATTTTGGCTCTAAAAGAAAATGGGTAATCATCATCCCGGTACGTAGGTTATCTTCTACACAGAGATCTTCCAATCCTAGAAAACGAATAAGAGATGGATTAGCAGCGGCAGTCATTAGAATATCCTGTGAAACGAACTGTCGATGGACATATCAATTTTAGGTGAGAAGAAAGCTACGCCCCAATGTCATTTTGTATAATATATACTACGTATGATTTATGAGACTAGGCCAGGAAAAACTCTTGTAGAATTATGCAGGATAATAATAAGTCTAATTTCTCCTAATTTTTTTGTCTCTTTCCTTAATTGTTTTTATTAAGCACGCTTGCAGTGCAGGTTTATCTAATAGGGCATGCAAGGAGGAAGGTTAATCACACAGATATTTTGGATTAAAATGTCAAATATATAGTCTGCAGCAAATAGTGTATGTAAGCTATTAGTCATAAAAGTCCTAGTACTCCATAGAAATTTTGATACTCATTTTAAAGCTTGATAAAAACAACTAGAAAGTGATCATATATCCGATATTATTGGTGAGAAATAAAATAAGTTTGGCATGACAATACAGAAGCTATAAAAGACATCCGTGGATACTTAGTAGCTCCATGGTGGTTTTAAGATCCAAAAAATGGAGTGTTAAGTGCTTAGATATTTATATTCAGAATAATTAAAAGAAGGGATAAAGGGTCAGATAGGGTCTCGAACTTGAAAAAAATGTCAAATAAGGCCATATTTAGGATGTTCTGTCCGGCCGACGCCATTTGGGGCGGTTCCCGATGGAATTTTTTGATGAAATTTTTTAAGAATCTTATTCACTAAGTCTAGTTTACTCATATCAAATTTGAACTAAAAATTCAATCGGGAAGGCATTCGAATGAATTCTTGAAGATAACTGTGCAGTTAAAAGCGCAATTATCTTCAAGAATTCATTTGAATGTCTTCCCGATTGAATTGGTAATTCAAATTTGATATGAGTACACTAGACCTAATGAATAAGATTCTCAAAAAAATTCATCAAAAAATTCCACCAGGAACCGCCCCAAATGGCGTTAGCCGGACATAGCAGCCTAAATATGGCCTTATTTGACATTTTTTTCGAAGTTCGAGGTCCTATCTGACCCTTATCCCTTAAAAGAAATATCAGTGAATGTAATAGTAATACTAATATACTACTACAAATACTACTGATGATGACGACGACAATAATAATAATAATTATAATAATAACAATGATAATAATCTATTTGAACATCACATATAATGTCCCGGTAAAAAAGAGGTCTAGAAAGAATGTCAAACTTTATCTGATAGAATTGAACTCCCATATAGCATTGACACTTTAAGGTCAATCAATCGCTCCAGTTGTTAGTTACATGAGTAATGTATTATTGTCATTTTCTGATTTGATCACAAACATAACAAAAAACAATTTTCTTTTCCATTTGTAGTAGCTTAATTGAGAATAAAAAACTAAATGGGGAAAGTGTCACATGTAGAGGATGAAGAATTTTATCAATTCGGGGCGAAATATATGTTCACTATCTCTAAGAAATCTGAAAGACAAAATGGGTCAACAGGGGCGGACGTAGCTAATAAACAATGGGGGCACATGCCCCCAATAACTTTGTACTTTTAGTTATTAAAATAATAAAGAAATTATGCATTAAGGAGTAGTGCCCCCAATGAAAAAAGATGACGCCCCCAATAATATATCATACGATTCATGCGAATGAAGTAGAAGTACCTATTAGCCTTTCTATTCCATAATTTCCTTGCCCAGTCGACTCCATTTCTCAATTATTTCAATTATGTAACCTATTATTTTAATAAGGAAAAATTGATTGTAATAATCCCAACTATTGGCGGTCCGCTTATAATAATCCCAACTATCGATTATTTCAGAATAATCCCAACTTTAGGGTCCTTCTGCCAATAACAGTCCCTGTAAATAAATTCATGTACTTTCTGAAGTGGATGAGAAGAGATATAACAAGTAATCTCTATAAATAATCTCAACTTTTAATTTTTACGTTTAATTTCTATTTAAAATTCACTTTTATAGAAGGTAATATTTGGTCATGGACCATTATTAACGGATGGTTCATATAGTTGGGATTATACAAAAATAATCAATAGTTGGGATTATTGTTAGCGGACCGGCAATAGTTGGGATTATTATTTTCAATTTTTCCTTTTAATAATTAGTTCCCAAAGAAGCCAATAACGACATTTTCTAATTCCGCAGGTTTTACCTTTAGATTAAACTAGTATTGTACCCGTGCGATGCACGGGACATTTATATTCATATGTTTGTCAACATTTTTTTACTACTTAAAATACTAATGATTTGAGGAAATAGGAATTCGTGTATCATGTGATAAAAAGGAACATGTAAAATTATACGGAGTATATCACATGTAAAATTGATGTACTAAATACAAATATATTACTCGTATTATATTATGGAATTATTTGATTTTATGATTAATATGGAATTATTTAATTAAAAATATACTAATATCAAACGAAATATGTTGAGGTACGAAAGAAATACTCCATAATAGATTGTACATTTTAAAAATTTCTGGTTATATGACATCTAATTAAGGCACCATCAAAGTTTCTCGGTAATATTCTTTTTTGTGACCGTACGAAGTATATGTGTTGTCTTAAAGAGTGGCCTCCTATGAGAAAGCTTTTCAAACTCACTTCTATTGATTTGTGCGTATAAGCATATTACATTAGATATTTAGAACCAGCTAACCCATGTGATGTAAGATGTAAATTAAAATTCCTTTTCATTTTTCTGTCTTGTTTTATACGGATTATAAAAATTGTTTGTAGGATATGTATGGACTTCTATTAAAACTAACTAAAATGCATCTATATTATGGTAATAACAAAACATTATTAATACTTGGTATAATATAGATATAAAATAAAAAAATAGTTGAGCACACAAAAGACGAAGACAAACAAAAAATATAGTGAGCAATTACTAACGGAATTAAAATGATGAAATAATAGAATATTTTTTTGGGAGAAATTGATCATTAAATTAACTGATTAAAATTTTGATAATTATATTTACTTTTAAGGGAAGTAACATATATTATCTTAAAAAGACTTTCAAATATAGATTTAAAAGTAAAATCTTAAAATACTTAAAATTTGAGCATAATAATTGTAAGAGCATATAAAATTAGCATTTAAAATTACATGATCGCCACAATGTGAGACTGATCACATGAAAGGAAGCCAAAAATGATTCGATTAGGGAAATCTTCAAACCAAACAAATCAAAATATCCGGGCAATATCAATTTCATATTGGGCTTACAAAAATTTTTAGCTCTAAAAATATGCACACAATGACACATGTCCTCTCACTCTAACCCACATTTGACCGCCTCCGTCTCATGTTCTCACATCCAATATCTACTATTCTGTTCTTCTGCTTACTTTGTTTTCATAGTAGAAATCAAATGCACATCTCTACTTTCTTCTTCAAAGTTTTAATGGTGTTTATTAAGACAAATCTTAAATTAGTATCTGCCATCCTAATGAGGTATGGACATTCTAGTTCATCCAGGGCTATTTTGTTATACATATTTCAACTCCTATTAAGGAATAAGGAATAAAAGTTTAATTAGTTTCTTTTTCTAAATACATGTTTCTCACTAAACATGTATTTTTTATTAATTTATTGATTTGGGTCAGAATTTCTTATTTCCAACACCTTTTTAAAAAGATACGGAGTACACGTTTACATTAGATTGACATAACTCTTGTTTTGATATTTATACTCTTGACATTATCGTGCTTGACTTGTTAATTTTATTAAACCTGGGTATGTGTAGGGTGTGTTGATTTGTATAGACAATAATAGTAATAATAATAATCCTACGTAATAAACATAAACGGCTGCTAGATTAGACGATGAATATATAAGAATATGTGTTACCGACTGTATGTGAAGTGGTTTAAATAACCCTTGTGCAGTGCAGTGGTGCATCTGAACCCAGACCACCACCAAATTATATTGGTAGAAGAACTTAAATTTTTATTTGGCAAATGCGGCCATCCGGGCCATGCATGCATGTTCAAGTATAGCCAGAAGTCCAGAACATGCGCTCGATCTTGCACTCACAGTGCAATTCTTGTGGGGCAAAGAAGACATGCATCAACATGAATATGCACTTTTGATTTCCTTGGAGCATTGAGTAACCGCCTATGTACTCTTGGAGTTGAAAGAGATTATAGAGAGAAAAAAAAAATATTCTTGAAGGAATTAGAGAGAGAAGTATATTCAGACTGATGTGTAACTAACTACCAGAATGGGTAGTATTAAAAAGTGCGTATAGAAACATGGATAAGGCTAATACAAGTTTATTGGGCCTAGCCCATCTAAATGCAGAATTATTATTACAACATGCTCCCTTAATTCTGCAGTTTAGCTAATACACTTATGCTCCCTTCACTTCAGCAACTGAGAACATATTTAGCCTTTTCCTTAGCTCTGTGAATCTCTGAATTGATAGAGGCTTTGTCAGTAATCTGCAATCTGCTCTTCAGTTTTGCAATGCCAAACCTTTATTTTCCCTTTGTTCACCTTCTCTCTTAAGAAATGAAATCTTGTATCAATATGCTTGCTCCTGCCATGTGCTACAGGATTCTTAGCAAGACTTATTGCAGATTTGTTATCAATCATCAAGTCAACTGGTAGCAAACTCCTTATCTTGATCTCATTCAACAAAGATCTGAGCCACAATGCCTGACAGGCTGCATAACAAGCAGAAATGTATTCTGCCTCACAGGTTGAAAGGCAAACTGAATTGTGTCTCTTGGAACACCAAGATACTGGGGACTGACCAAGTGTGAATATATAGCCATAAGTACTCCTTCTTCTGTCAATATCACCATTCCAATCTGAATCAGAATACCCCATAAGCAATTCTCCTTTCAACTGATTTCTGTTGGGCAATAGAATACCCAAGTCTGCAGTACCCCTTACATATCTCAGAACTCTTTTAACTGCAGCAAAGTGTGATACTCTTGGACTGTCCATAAATCTGCTCAAAAACCCTACACTATAGCAAATATCAGGTCTGCTATAACATAGGAATCTCAGGCAACCAATCATCTGTTTGTACAAGGTAGCATCAACCCTTTTTTCACTCTCATTTTTTCCAATCTTCAGATTTGTCTCAGCTGGTGTAGTAGCAGAATTGCATTTTTCCATCTTAAATCTTTTCAACACATCTTCAGCATATTTCCTTTGA